AGTGGAATATAACTGATTGGCTAAATAAGAAAGGAATTATGCAAGAGCTGGTCCAGGGTCCATTGTCTGCTAGAACTCCATTGTACTGCATAACACCCCACCCAGAAAATTACATCGAAACTCGTCTATGATCCATCCATTTTAGTATATATCCGTGTGTGTGATACATCTCAGGTTCTATTAGAAAACATTTTATGCCAAAATCCTTTGAATGTGCCAAAACGGACCCTAATCTCCCTTACCCTTTTCTTATCCTTGTCCCATTCCTCTTATCTTTTCTTTTCCTTGTCCCATCACCCTTAACTTTTTCTTTTCCTTGTCCCATTCTCCTTACCTTTTTCTTATCCTTGTCCCATTCTCCTTACCTTTTCCTTATCCTTGTCCCATTCTCCTTACCTTTTTCTTATCCTTGTCCCATTCTCCTTACCTTTTTCTTATCCTTGTCCCATTCTCCTTACCTTTTTCTTATCCTTGTCCCATTCTCCTTACCTTTTTCTTGAAAAGACTACATCTAGTGTTCTATCTGTATTGTTGTTAATCTATGACCCTGTACTTGGTGCTATGCCTGCAGCCAAATATAGTTACAAAGGACTGCAATATAGTATAAGATCTATGAGTTTAAGAATAGGTTTGTAAATTAGTTAATTATATATTTGAACCGTACTCACGACTTGATGCGGTTTTTAGAGCAAGCAATGTCAGATTATTATTTGTTTAGGGTCAATTAGCCAGACGGTTTGTTATATGTAGAATATATTGTAGGTATACACAATTAAGAATGTGGCCCATTAGATCCAAAGATCTTGAATATTACAAATAATTGCAATTATTTATTTCTTATTCATAATTTTTTTAAATGGAATATTTTACTCGTTTTCTGGTTTCAATTGTGGATTTTCAAAAGGTTTTTTATATTTGTTAACCATATAAGGCCTATGTAGTCTGAATCTATGTATAGCCAGAGGGGGGGGGGGGCTCCCCCCACAGAAAAAGACCTAGAGTAAAGGTAAAGGGTTGCAATGTTTGATCATAGCCCATTTTTTCAAGACAAGCTCATTGAAAAGACTGCTAATTTCTGAGGTTTGGGTGTTAGAAAAATTGAAAAAATATGCAAATGTAAAAAAAAAAATTTTTTTTTGACAAATATTAAATATGGCTGGATAAGGTTGGATAAGGTTGGATACGTTTAAATATGGTTTATCCAACATGGTGTATTTATGGTTTGGATAAGGCTGGATAAGGTTAGATAATGTTGGATAAGGTTGGATAAGGTTGGATAAGGTTGGATAAGGTTGGATAATGTTGGAGATATTTGGAGATGGATGGATTAGGTTGGATAAGGTTGTATGAGGTGGATAAGGTTGGATAAGGTTGGAAAATGAATTGGATAACATTAGATAAGGTTTTATAAGGTTGGATAACGTTGAATCAGGTTTTAGATGTTTGGAGATGGTTGGGTTAGATTTGATAAGGTTTGATAAGGTTGGAAAATGTTGGAAAAGGTTGAATAAGGTTGGATAAGTTAGAATATGGTTGGAGTCCCCAGGTCCTCTGCCTGAATAACTACTTTTTGTTGTAACAAACAAAATCTTTGTTTTGACCCATTTTCAGTTGCCAGATTTTGATAATTTTTAGTTTTTTGTAAAGCCTCCGACATAAGGAAACGGATTGCAAAAGTTTTGCAAAAAAATTTATTAACATATTTGCAAACAACCCGTCAAAAGAAATTTGCATATTTTTAGTTTTTTTTTAATTAAACATCAGGTTATTTAAAACTTTGCAAATAGTTTTGCATATTTGAAATGGCATGGTCAAGGCCTTTTCAGAAATGTGTATTATATCATTTTTGGACAATTTTTTTGTTTTAACCATTTTTACTTTATAACTGGATTTTGCACAAAAAAACAATTTTTTGCAAATTTGCACATTTTTAAAGATAAATTTTGGTTTTAAAAGAAAATATACACAAAAACGAAACAAAAACTAATTTCCATTTTTTATAATAAAAGTAAACTTTAAAAAAAACTGGACAACTTTACATATAGATATATTTTATAAGTATTAAGATAACGTATCACACGAAAAACTTACATCATATTTTTTCCTTCAAATTTAAGAATGTGCTAGTGATTAATGTGCATCAGTTTAAGCTCGATTATCACGGAATGGAAGATTTTCTGTTTTACACATAAAAGACGACATTTATAATTAACTTTGACAATGAATATTAAAGCTATGTGCACTGCTTACCCACAAAAGTTGAGATTTCAGAGGAATGATAAGAATGATAATGATAAGAATAAGATCGTCAGAACTAAAGAATTTCAGATCGTCATTTAATTCTCATCCCTGTATACAATGGATTTAAAGGGTGCAGCTAAATGTCAGAAGAATTTCTAACTAATTTTAAAACGGAAATCTTTACATAATTTAAACAAATGTTTAACCGTTTTTTTTTCTTTTTAACTATTTTACAATTTTAAGAATGACTAATTGTAAAGGTTTGTTACCATTAATTAAAGTTTCAGTGAATATGAGATCTATTTTATATTGCCTTACAGTGTTAAAAAAGTAATATTTGAATAGAAAATTCGACAGTCGGTGAAAATATTTTAAGGGAAATTTTTATCAAATATTTACAATTGTAAATTAATGATTAACAGTCAATGATGGCTTGTTACATAGTTAAACCCTAAATATTAAATACATCGAAAGAACGTCGTAATGTCGTATTCTTTACTTTCTGATAATGGAATGTTGTAGATATTTAGTTTTGTAATTGAATGATTATTTACAAAGATCTTTAAAACTGTTCCGGCATATTCATGGCTATTTATTTATTTTCGCAAAAATAGTATGAAACCCATTGAAAAATGTTCAAGACGACATTTCATAAATTCAGTGTTTAACTATATTACAAACTGTAAGAAATATGTTTTCTGTAATTTATTGACTACCAAAAGAAAATCAAAATTACGTCAAATTTGTTAGATATTACAAAAAGAATGTCAATTATTGGTTAGTTACAAATTTTATGTTTCGTTATTTTGAAAATCCCGTTACTTTTGGTGATTGTTTTAATTAAATAAAGGTCGTCAATAAACACGTAAAAGTGATCTTTTTAAGCACCCTGTGTTTTTGTAATTTTGTGTTTGTGTGTTTTTGTAAAACGTAATTCTATAATAATAAAAAAAATAAATTTCGTAATTAAGAACAAAATGTTCATAATTTTGAAATGTTTTTGGTAAGTTCCGTATTATGAACAAAATATGAGAAGTGATCTTCAAATGTAACAAGTTTGGAATTTTAAATAATCTGGATATTTAAAATTTTCATTTTTCAAATTTTTCCACATTTTCGTTTACAGAAATCTGACCAGAAGGCTTGCAAGCACAAACAGTAATCCACTAAAATATATCGAAATATTAGATAAAAATATTAGATAAAAAAATGTTAAAATTGGACAAAAGATAAACATGAAAGTAAGAAAAAAATATTTGTATTTTTTTCTTCTTTTTTTAACTTGTCACAAAAATCCCATTAAAATCTTTAATTTTATAATCGCATTGAAGGATTGATTAACACTTGTTAAAGTAATTTTATTTAACATTGGCTTAAGAGCCCGGCCTTGCCCGTGGAAAAAAAAAATAAAAAAATAAAATGTTTCAGAAAAAAAAATCGATTTTTTTTTAGCCTATAACACTCATCGGCCACCCCTTAGTGTCCACAAAAAAAATCAGTCCAATTGGTCCAGCCGTTTGGCCGGCAATAGGCAACATATATATATATATATATATATACGAATGTCTTGTTTTATTATATAGATGTTTTACCACTATGTATGGTAGTTAAGCTTAGAGTGTAGTATTGTATAGGAACTTTTTAAGAATTGTCCATTTCGGAAATACAGGTTGTCCCAATAAAAATGGGAATTCACTGACGACTTTTATATCGTCTTTGATCAATGCGGCATTTTTTCATGAACACAAATATTGCAGTAGTCCAGATTAAACATCTAATCTAATATCAATAACGCCTGGTCCATGAGATTTTTAAAATGTGGTCTAACATAGTTGTATCTTCAAAATTGAAGGAGATGTTGTAAAATGTGTGCACATTTCAATTTATTTAATAAATCAAAATTGTCTCAATATCTAATTTCTTCTTCAATTTTTGAGAAACACGAAAAGTAGATGTAGACCACTTTATGATAACCTGGTCAGACGTACAGCCTTGTTTTTTTTTACTTTCTTTGTAATGCATTAAATATCAGAAATCATGGACGACTTTCAAGTAGTTTCTCAATTCCCATGTTTATTGGGACACCCTGTACAATTTAAGAATCGTAATTTTATTATTTAATAACGATAGAGAAAAATGTAACAATTATCCTACAGTTTCTCAAAAGATATTACCGACGAAATAAAATCGATTAGTTCATTTTATTATTATATCTACTCTGTACAGTGTACATGTATTGGCACATTTCATGAAATGTTGTCTTTTTTAAGCCTGAAACGTTTAAGAAGACGATGATAGCGCCCTAAAGAAGATTTCATACATTGCTGTCACATTTTTCGTCGTCGTTATTTTTTAAAGGTATTATTATTATTTAAAGGTATCGGTGTGAATCGGGCATTGTCGAGTTAAAATATATTGTAGAAGTAAAATTAAATATTAAATGTTTTTACCAAGCAAAATATTTGATTATTTATCTTTTCTTTAGAATTCTTTACTTTATCAAGGCCAAACCAAAGAATTAGATAAAAAATATATCTTAGCAGCGTTTTATGAGTTTAGCGTTTTTTCTAGTATCAGAGTTTGCCTTCTTTAAAGTTTTGCTTCAACGTTAATTTTATTGTAAAAGTATTGAATTATAATTACGCAGCACACGTTTCCTAAAATCAAAAAATCACAAAATATAAGGGATTCATTTTATAATAATTTAAATAAAATGTATTTTAAAAATTATCCGATTTTTAGTGAATCCCGATAAAAATTATAAAAATAAATCAAATTTATTAACAGCGCTCTGAGATCTTGTTCAATACGTCATTTCCGAGCTGTATTTTACTTCAGAAATTTTAGTGGTAAGATGTTTAAGAAGATTTTCTAGATTTTAATCAATTAATCAAATTTTTAGGCAAACTGGTAAAGGGTTTTATGAGTTATGATCGGACATCCAAACAAACAGACAAACAGAGATTACTACTTTATATATACAGGGTGTCCCACATCAAATTAGACCGCGTCAATAGGGTCTACATTACGACTTGTAGAGCAAATCAGAATATTTAAAAAGAATGAATCATTTTGAAAAATTTAATAAGGCTAACAGAATTTTCTTTTGCAGAAAATGCTAGATTTTTCGAGTATTATGTGCGTATTTAGGTGTTAAAAATTGGAGATAGTCTAATTTGATATGGGACGCTCTGTATATGCTTTCACATTTGAAGCGCGAGGTCCCTGACGTAACCCGAAATGGCGAATGATGACATTGCACTGGATCAAGAACTACCTTGCAATATTTAGTTTAGTGCTGGAACTTTCCACCCAGTGTATAAGACAGCAGTCCAACCTGAAACAATTCAAGTCATTAGTAGAGGGAGTCCCAAAACCAAAGAAGAGACGGCTTTTTATACTTAGTTAATAACAAAAAGATTATAAAAACGTACGAAGTGAATTTTTAATCATTTTGGTGCGCTTAACATTTGTTTTTTTGCGTATATTTTCTCTCCGAGCTTAGTTGGAAAATGTAAGAAATGCAAAAGTTTTTAAACATTTGTTTTTCTTAGAAACTTTTTATTATAAAATCGTCATTTTTTTACTTTCTTAGCAAACTCTTCCTATCTTCTTGACTAAGAACGGAACGGGGAATGGAAACTTTCTTAACTACGAACGGAACGGGGAGATGGAACCATTATTCGACTAAGAACATTCAGCTAAGAACTGAACGGAACTGAACGGGACGGGACGGAGTGAGACGGAACTATTGAAAGAAAAGAAACGGAACGATTTCAAAAAAGCCGGAACGTGCTGGAAGGCGGAGTAATTTTAAGTTTCACTCCATCAATAGTGTTTGATTTCTACATTATTTCTTTAAGCAAGAAATGCGCAAGTCACTTTTGCAGAGAAACCCACAAACAAACTAACAGTTTAAGTAAACAAAACATGGATATCTATTTCATACTTGATCAGACAACGTTTTCTGGGTAACGTTGAAAATCAAACATTATTATCTTTGTATGGAGGGTCACTCACTTAAAATTACGCTTATAATCCCTTTAAATAATTTTGATGTCATGGAAAGTGTACAGACCTGTCCCCAGAGTTTCCAGTTGTCAGACTGTTTTCAGCTCCACCTAGACCCAGATCATCTATCATCTCATGTACAACCATAGATCTGTACATAATACATATTTACTGAAGTGCACAACCATAGATCTGTATATAATACATATTAACTGATGTACACAACCATAGATCTGTACATAATATATAGTAACTGAAGTGTACAACCATAGATCTGTACATAATATATAGTAACTGAAGTGTACAACCATAGATCAGTACATAATACATATTTACTGAAGTACACAACCTTAGATCTGTACATAGTATATACTGACTGAATTACACAACCGTAGATCTGTACACAATACATATTTACTGAAATACACAACCACAGATCTGTACACAATACATATTCAATTAATTGTACAACCAAGAACCAAAGCTATTTGCATAATATAATATTTACAATACGACCAAAGTTCCGCACATGTACATAATAAATATTAAAATAGCTTTGTACAGTGTAATTAAATTATGAAAAGCAGCATGCTTAACATTAAAGAAATTGTACTCACATACCATGTAAATACTAAACATGATCATGTTCATAATATTTACAATCAAAACCAGCTTTACATATAGGACAGCACTTTTCACTGATTAATTAATTTACGCGGCATTTTTTACAAAATTTTACGCGGCCTATTTTACAAAAGTTCCTCCCTCTGCACTGATTGATTATACCTGCCGATGACGTCCTCCAGCTTCATGTTCATGACCATCATGTTGACCCTGGCAACCTTCTCCCCGTCAGCCAGAATATTCTCCAAGTCACCAGCATGTCTAAACAGTTGAAAGTCTTATAAAAGGTGTCCCAGTAATCATGAGAATGGCTTTATTGCTAATTCTTAATTAAGAATTCCCATGTTTATTGGGACACCTTGTAGTTATTAAAGAATAGCTCGGATTTATCAAGGGTAAAAAGAATTAAAATCGTCTGAAAAAATGAGAGAATAAATGTAATTTCCAGTGATCGTCTATGCAAAAAGATGGCAACGGTACCCTTGAAACCTTAATCTGATCAATAATGCGAAAGATATTGTCGTTTCTCAAGGTTTAAAAATGTGTGTTTGTGATAATTCTAATATGTTTTCCTGCTGAAATGAGCAATTCACTTTTGAAGAGGAACTCCAATTAAAAAAAAATAGTTTTTGAAGTTTTTAAAATTAAAACAATCATATCTAATTCACAATTGATCAGGCAAAGTTTTTCAGGTAACGTTATGAATTAAGAGTTGCTATCATTGCATGGAGAGTCACTAGAAATTCCCGCACAGTCCCTTAAATTCTATTGTTAATAGTTGCAACATATAAAACAGTTAAATTAGTTACTATTTGCCAAAACTTTTAACCATTCCTAACTCAAACTTTCGAAATAATAATGAGACTTTTTTTAAATATTTTTATATATTTGAGGGCAATTTGACTTTTTTTGTAATTAGCAATTATATTTCTTGGTTCAAAATTCTAAGTTTTTCACTCATAATCAAAACAGTTTTCACTTTACTAATAATCAAAACAGTTTTCACTTTACTAATAATCAAAACAGTTTTCACTTTACTAATAATCAAAACAGTTTTCACTTTACTAATAACCAAAACAGTTTTCACTTTACTAATATTCAAAACAGTTTTTAGTTTACTAATAATCAAAACAGTTTTTAGTTTACTAATAATCAAAAAAGTTTTCACTTTACTAATATTCAAAACAGTTTTCACTTTACTAATAATCAAAACAGTTTTTACTTTACTAATATTCAAAACAGTTTTCACTTTACTAATAATCAAAAAAGTTTTCACTTTACTAATAATCAAAACAGTTTTCATTTTACTAATATTCAAAACAATTTTCACTTTACTAATAATCAAAACAGTTTTCACTTTACTAATAATCAAAACAGTTTTCATTTTACTAATATTCAAAACAGTTTTCACAGGCTGATAGTTTGTATTTTGATCAAAACAAAACTTTAAAATAACTATAGACAATAATTAGCTTTTAACCCAATTATTTTTTTTAAAGTGATTTAGTTTTCTTATTTCCTTCCTTCTTAGCTTTTCCCTCTTTCTTAATTCTTTTTCTCTGACTTCGTTTCAAACCTTCTCTTTTCCATTTTTTCCATTTTTCCTATTACTACATCTTTTTTGATCTATTTTTAAATTTTTCCTTTTTCCATCTTTTTCTTGTTTTCCATATTCATATTTTTACTTTTCTCCGATAGCTCTTTTCACTTTTTTCCTTAACATCTTTTTCCCCAAATCCCTAATTTTCCGTTTTCCACATCCCTTTAATTTCCACTTTTCCTTATTTCCCCATATACCTCTTTCTCCGTTTGTCTTTTTTGACCTCGTCAGTCCTGAGAAATCCAGGTAAAATGCATGAAATGTTTTTTCTCTTTAATCTGTTATATTCAATTTTTTTTAATTTTTACAATATTGTGCCAAGTGAACCCTCGATCAAAAATAGGGATTTAAAAATGTATGATATGAATAACGTGGCAGAGCTGAAGTGCTAAATAAATTTTTTTGCTTTTAGAATATTGGAGTCCTGTAACGCTCACATAACATAAGGTTTCAGTATAGCCATATTTCATAGAAAATATCAACAACAGAACTGATTAATCGCATCAAACTCTAATTTTCAGATTTGTATTATTTGACCCAATGGAAGTTTGAAGTATTAAAAGGTTGCAAAGATATAAGGACTAGAAACTATACTTAAAGGCGAGTAGTCAGTTTCTTTAACGCACACTAATGCCAATCGCACCCAGATCACAATTAAAATCAACAACCAGACAAACAGACAGGAAACCAGACAAACAGACAGGAAACCACACAAACAGACAGGAAACCAGACAAACAGACAGGAAACCAAAAAAGCAGACAGGAAACCAGACAAAAAAACAGGAAACAGATAAACAGACAGGAAACCAGACAAACAGACAGGAAACAGACAAACAGACAGGAAACCAGACAAACAGACACTAATACATTGATCAAACTGGATGCAAACTTCAGTTGTGAAACTGGAAGCTTTCAGAGTGTTTAATTCTGATCATTTCTCTATTGTTTCTGAAGAATATAGCGCAAGACACGTTTAGCACACTCCATTAATGAAGGGTAATTTGAAATCACGTGTACAGTCCTTTAAGCTCCTAAATTTCTTGAGCACACTTTGTTTTTTTTTAATTTACAAAGATGCAAATTTGACAATTTCTTATTTGAAGCAGTGCTCGTGCAAATTGTCTTGAAGAGGCTGAATCATTATTAAAATATTGATTAACTCATTTTCTCATCCTTTAATGAGATATAAATAAGATACTCCAGGAACCCCTTTATCAGTGTACTGTATAGTTTTTGGAATTAGTGTAAACAAATTAACTCAGTTCTGCTCAGGCCGAACTTAGCTTACATTTCTCCCAGAAACTGCAGTACGCTCATTTTGCAAACAATGATATTGGGTAATAGGTTCGTGGTGCATACTTTTTGGGTGTTTCTTTATTTTATATTTTATTTGAAGGAACTGTAGACTTAGTTTTAGGTGACCCTTTCATTTAAAGAGTGACATATCTAATTACAACGTTTCACGCTATTAAACCTTTTTTAGGAAGATATCGTCATTTTCCAATTTCAATACACGCGTTGAAATCTGAGAATTCCCTTCATTGTCTCTACAACATAGATCCACAAGTAACATTTAGAGACATAGATATTTTATTAATCCTTAGTCAGTTACTGCTTAAAAGAAACAGAGATGCCTCTCTATAAATGGAAGATATATAACGCCTTCAGTCCCTTTATTGAATACTTATTTATATAAAATAAGTGACCTGTTGGGCGAAGTTAAACTTCCATGGGTTGTATTGGTTGGATTATAATGAGGTCCAGCATCCAGACATTTATTACTCAGCTTTCCAAACTTAAATAGTATTGTTTGTTTTAATTCTGTCTGTGCAGTGTGCACTGTACAGTTATCACACTGTAACTGTACAGTTAACACAGTGTACAGTTAACACAGTGTACACTGTACAGTTAACACAGTGTACACTGTACAGTTATCACAGTGTAACTGTACAGTTAACACAGTGTACACTGTACAGTTAACACAGTGTACACTGTACAATTAACACAGTGTACACTGTACAGTTAACACACTGTACAGTTAACACACTGTACAGTTAACACACTGTACAGTTAACACACTGCACAGTTCAAACAGTTTACAGTTAACACACATGCCGCTTTGAATTACAAGACAGAGAGAGAGCATGCGCGCAACTCATTTGGGCTTCTGCCTCAGGGTTTTAAAAAATCATTTTTAAAAACGAAAAAAGGAAAAACGAAACGAAAATACATAATACAATTCAATGAGAGGTTTTTAAAATGTATAAGACAGAATGCAAAGAAAATATTGAAAAATGTTTAGGATAAAGATGAAATGTTTAGGATAAAGATGAAATGTTTAGGATAAAGATGAAATGTTTAGGATAAAGATGAAATGTTTAGAATAAAGATGAAATATACAAATACCTCATGAATATGAAATCCGTGATATCCTTGAGTAAGATTCGTTATAGTTCCCATTATCATAATATCCTAAAAAAAGTTTGTTTTTATCTAATTAATAAATATTTTAATTTAAAGTTTTGTCCTGACCTTATTATCATTAGTATAATGCAGTTTTACTTCTCCTTGCAGTACACCACCATGGAACTCACACTCTGCCACTTTTTCCATTCCTGAATGGGACTTCGCAAGTAATTTCAAGTGAAAATTCATTATAGAGTGGGTTGTAATATTCACAACGGTACCATTTTATAAATAACCTACGGATTTATGCAGAGATAGATGGAGGAAAAATGCAAGAATTCAACATTTTTCCAGATAAGTATTGCTTACATAAAGTACAAAAGGGTACCCCTATTCCTGTATATAATTTTAACATAATTTTAACATAATTCCTAGACTATAATAAAAAATAAGGGATCCACTCTAGTATGCGGAGTCCATTAGCACCTGATCCAATCAGGGTTTAGACATGTGTTTGTTGTCTATTCTCAACCAATATGGCGGTAACATCTATCTTTCTATCCATCTCATCTTCCAATTAGAGATAAATCCTTCAATCGGCGCTATCAGTAAATGGAAAAATTTACTTCTACTGAAACTATAGTGGGGACCAAGTCAAAATTTCTTTTTTTTTGTAATCCAACTTCTCAGTAAAATTCCACAGAAGGCCTCTTTTAATTTTACACAAAACATCAAGATATAAGAATTTACATTATTAAACTTTAACTTTTTATTTGAACAAATTACATATTTTACCTTTGGTCATAGCGATGGACACAAAAATTGCAATAAATTGAACAAACCACATTGTATCTGAAATATTGAAAATAAGAATAATAAATTTATTGAGAAGAGAAAACTCAAAAACCATGTTCTAGGCAAAAAAAAACCAAAATAAATCCCAACTGGGAAAATAGATGTTTGTCAAGAAAATAAGAACTAACGAGTAACGAGTATCTAGCTATCTTTAAAGGGAAATAGATGTTTGTCAAGAAAATAAGAACTAACGAGTACCGAGTATCTAGCTATCTTTAAAGGGAAATCGAATAGATTTTATCAAAGTGCGCACTGCCCCCCCCCCATAATTTTTTCTCGAAAAAACTGAAAGCGTAATTGTAAGCGAAAAAGGCCACTAATGACTAATTGACAACTGATTGAAACCTTTATCTGAACTATACGGTGAAAGATGTTGTCATTGTTCCAGGCATAAATGTATTTAATTCGTATAATTCCTAAATGTTTTCTGCAGTAGAAATGCGCAGGTCACTTTTGTAGAGAAACCCCTTTTTTAAATGTAAACATGGATATCTAACTCATAACGATCTGACAAAGCTGTTAAGGGTACCTATGTAAATCGGGCATCACCATCATTGCCTGGAGGTTTACTTAAAATTACGCGAACAGTCCCTTTAAGCTAAATGTAACCGAACGTGCCGAATCCTAATCTTGTGAATTTGTTATGCAAAAAACCTCTGTGTTCCTTTATGACACTGTCACAGAGCAAGAAATACAAATAAAGGGGATTTTTTTAATAGAAGGAAATCATCAGTTTGCAAAGATATAGGGATTAGAAAATTTAAGTTTGTGGCAAAGACTAAATTTATTAAAAACACATACTTAAAATAGGACATCAAAACATGTTTTTGTAAACCCTATAACCAGATCTATTCTTTTTAGTTGTATCAATTAAGAACGTATTGTAAACATTTTATTTATGTCTTATATTGCCTTGACTAAAGGGCGTTTAGTGTTGATTGTGCACAATAATGGTGGTCTAATTAATCAATGAATTGCTTTATATACATTGTACGCACGATATGGCGTGTAAAAGTGTACTGTGTCAAATTTTAAAATTTACCGGATTTTCAAGTTCCAAATTTTATTTATTAATCTATCTATTGGTAGTGAAGGTTTATGTAAGTTAACTAATCATTTAATATATAAATTCAAGTCAATTACACCACATTTTGGTATTTATTAAAGGGACTGTCCAGTGTAAACGTACATTCTAGTGACAGTGACCCGCCCCCCCCCCGTTAAAAAAACCTCAACTGCAAGCTCGATTCACAATTGTACTTCTTGTAAACCTTTATCTGAGTTAGATCAAATCGTCTTTTTTTCTATCTTTCAATTTCTGCCAATTTCATACTTCAATGTTTCTTCTGCGTGCATAAATCCGCAATTGTAAGCTAAATATATAAATATAAAATCGTCAACATTTTTTCCCAGGCTAAGACGCGAATAAATTGTGAATCGGTCATGCCCTTGCTGTTTAAATGAAGGATCACTTGACATCACAACAACAGTATTATTTAGTTTCGGACCGGAACAAACTCTTTTAGTCTTTCTTGTCTCTTAGCTTCGGACAGGAATATAAAATCTTAATCTTTCTTATTTTTTTCTAGGAACTCTAGGAATTCCCTGTATTCCCCGTATTCCATGTGTTCCCTGTATTCCCTGTATTCCCTGTATTCCCTGTATTCCCTGTATTCCCTTTATTCCCTGTATTTCCTTTATTCCCTGTATTCCCTGTATTTCCTTTATTCCCTGCATTCCTTGTATTCCCTATATTCCCAGTATTCCCTATATTCTCTGTATTCCCTGTATTTCCTGTATTCAATTTATTCCCTGTATTCTCTGTATTCTCTGTATTCCCTATATTCCAGGTATTCTCTTTATTCCCTGTATTCCCTGTATTCCCTGTATTCCATGTATTTCATGTATTCCCTTTATTTCATGTATTCCCTATATTCTCTGTATTCCCTTTACTCCCTGTATTCCCTGTATTCCCAATATTCCCTATATTCCCTGTATTCCATATATTCCCTGTATTCCCTGTATTCCCTATATTCTCTGTATTCCCTGTATTCCCTGAATTCCCTGTATTCCTTGTATTTCCTATATTCCCGGTATTCCCTATATTCCCTATATTCCCTGCATTTCCTGTATTCCCTGCATTCCCTGTATTCCCTGTATTCCCTGTATTCCCTGTATTCCCTGTAACCCTGTATTCCCTGTATTCCCTGTATTCCCTGTATTTCCGTATTCCCTGTATTCCCTATATTCCCTGTATTTCGGGTATTCCCGGTATTCCCTGTATTCCCTGTATTCCCTGTATTCCCTGTATTCCCTGTATTCCCTGTATTCCATATCCTCAATCCCAACTGTACCAACTGATTTCAAAAAGCAAATTTAAAAAAAAAATTATTTTTGTGGTCTGGGCAAGGTTCGTACGGAGGTACCCGTAGCTCCCTTTTCGTTTTTTATTTAATGCCTATTTTATTTTTAGATTGCTCTAGCTCCATAAGTAATAATCGGTGATCCAAAATTTTAGTTAAAAATGAAACCTACGACTAACAGCTTATGATTTAAAAAAAAATTCGAAAATCTTTAAATTTTTTCATACTTTATGAACGAATAAAAATGAGACGTGAAAAATCGAAAACTGGAAAACTCCGGGAAATCAATTTTCGACTTACTTTCAAATAATTGGTTGTAACAAAAAAGTATAAAGCCTAGAAGGAAAAATTTTACATAATGACATAATTGAAATATAGAGCTTCCGAATGTGCACCTTGATCGTAAAAATTGAACGAAAATTGTTGCCTTAGTTACTAATACACAGTTTTGTTTTATACACCCTGTACAAACAGAGTAAACTTGTCCGTCTTCACTGTTCATCTTGCAGAGACATTAAAGACACATCTTTAAGCCATTTACCGTTTTCATTAAATAAACTCTAGCAGACATAATAATACTATTGCTTTTAAAATTAGGTATTACAATGCTAATTCATAACAAAGACTACATCAAATTCGTCACTGAATTCCCATGTTCACTGGGACACCCTGTATATACCCACAAAGAATAAGACTTCAGGGATGATTGCAAGGAAATTGATTTGTTTGAATTAAATTGATTTTTGAATGTTTTAGCAACCTAAAGTTTCAACCTCAAACAAGGGCCGGTCGCATATTATCTCAAGCTAATTCTCGCCGTAAGCCTATACCCCTTTTCATTTTTCGCAAACAGTCCCTTTAAATCATCAAGATACTCGATTAAAGGTCATATTTTTTAGTTTTGGATCGTCTGCACAGTCTCATTCTTTATGGGTAACCCTGTACAGTGTACATCCTATATTTAGTGTTATATCATTAAGATCTTGTTTCACTACTAACTTCTCAATATGAACTGTTTCAATTTGCTTACGTTTATCTAAGAAGTTCTGTTGACTTAGACTGATTTAAAATATATGAATGCAGTCATGATTTGCATTTCAAATTATTGTAAATTTTGTGATAATTTAGTCAAAAAGTAAAAGGTAAAATTCAAATACAATTGCCAATTTCAGAAAGAATTAGCTTCAATTTTTTACCCATTTTCCGTAACTGTGGACCCAACTTTATGCAATGTTAAATGACATGTGTACGGCGCCAGCTTGGTCCTGATTAGAACTAAGATTTGAACTTCATATTTCATACAGTGGGGCATATAAAACTGTGGAATAGCAAGACGACAATAATATAGAAACTTGGATCTAGCAGTAGTCTTTTTATTCCACAGCTGTACAGGTTCTCTGTACTATAAACAAAATAAAATCCCATTTACACAGGTCCATTTTCAACTTAGAACGGTTCCCTTTAAACCTTTATCTGATCAACATGCAAAATATTGAAAATATTTTCGTTTTCTCGCTTGAAAACTGTTCAATTCTAACAATATTTCTCGAGTGTAAATCTTCTATTTCCCTTTCACAGAGAAACCACAATTTATCAATTTTCAAGAAGAAAAAAATTCAATCTTGATTTGAAAAAGTTATAGAGGTTAACATCATTATTCGGACAGTTCATTTAAGTTTAGTGAACAGTTTCTTTAAGTTTAGTGAACAGTTTCTTTAAGTTTAGAGAACAGTTTCTTTAAGTTTTGTGTGCAGTTTCTTTAAGTTTAGTAACCAGATCCTTTAATTTTAGTGAACAGTTCCTTTAAGTTTAGTGAACAGTTCCTTAAGTTTAGTGAACAGGTTCTTTAAGTTTAGTGAACAGTTTCTCTAAGTTTAGTGAACAGTTTCTTTAAGTTTTGTGTACAGTTTCTTTAAGTTTAGTAACCAGATCCTTTAATTTTAGTGAACAGTTCCTTTAAGTTTAGTGAACTGTAAAAGAAAAGGGGGCGACTAAATTAATTAAAAACCTGTAAATATATTAACCTTGACTAAATGTATTTATACCTCTGTATATTGTATATTAAGCTGATGACTGTTATTCAATCATCCACTTGTGCAATTTTTACAATTTTATAACAAATATTTTCAAATCTATCATGCATGTAAACTTAAAACTTTAAATTTGATAATTATCAAGATTTGATTATTTAAAACATATGCTAAAATAATTAAGACTATAGTATACCCACCACCTCCCTTAAAAACTTTATGTAACCATAGCGTAATTACTCTATGTATGTAACTGTAAATTAAATCTTTAAGATATAGATCACTGGTCTCACATTATCTTACCCTTCGTTACTCCAGAGTTGTTTAACTTGTTGCAGCATGAAAGCTGGAAAATCACTGACTGTAGTAGTAGTAGTAGATTCTATAATAAATACAAGTAAGGATAGATAGATAGATGGATAAATAGATAGATAGATAGATAGGGGGATAGATAGATAGATAGAACTTAAGATCATTTTGTTAAGTTTAGAAATATTCTTTGTTGAATAAAAGTGTAAAACTAAAATATATAATATATAATATTTATATAATATATATGATGATACGTATGATATGAGCTATCTCTGTTTCCGGTGTAAAAT